CCTGCTGCTCGGTCCCCGCCGCCGCTGCCGTTCGTCGTCCTTGCTTGCTGACTGTCTGTCGTCCCTTCTCCTTTTCGGGAGCGGCCAAGAGGGGGGTGTCCAAGAGGGGGGGGTGCAAATCATGACCGGCGGCATGTGCGCGGCCCAGCGGGGGGGCCAGGGACGTAATGAAATAAAAAGAGGCGCCATGAAATCTGGGGAAATATCATGGCCCCCGCCATGCCCCCCCCTAGTCATCACCCCCCCCTTTTCCGCCCCCGACTTCTCTTCCCTCCTCCTTCTCCCCCCTGTTCGGAACGCTGTGCGGCTCAGCTGGTGCTCGCGGTCGGCCTCGCTGGCCGCGCGTGCCGCCGCAGCGGCCCCTTGCCACGCGCCGTGCCCCGCGAGCTGCTGCAGGCGTGCGGCTTCCCGCTCCGCGGGGCCGGCGCCCGGGCCCGCGCCCGGAGACGCCGCTGCTCGGGGACCCATGGGCGTGCACCGCGCGTCGCGCCGCCGCGCCGCGGGCCAGGACCGGCGGAGCGACGCGCGGGGCGGCCACTCCTTAAGGGCTTCGGTTTCACACATTCCTCAGGATCTCGCACCCCCCCCCCCCTGAAATTCCCAGACGCCCCCGAAGTAATTCCAAAACAATTGAAATAATTCAATTCGAATTAGGCAGCGGCCAGGAATGGTCCATTCCTGGCCGCGCTGCTCCGTCCTGCCCTGCGCCGTCCGCCCTGGAGTCTCCTCCTCCCGCTCCTCCCCTCGAAGCAGAAGTTCTACCCGGCGAGCAGGGGCACGCTGGCCACGGTGCAGTCGCAGCCCCCGGTCTGCGCTGCAAAGCACACCGGTGCTTTCTTCGCTGATGATTGGCCCAAAAAGGACCCCTACCCTTTGGGAGGGGGCCTAAGGTAGGAGGGCCCGGAACATTAGGGATATCGGGGTCTTTACTACACGTGTATCGAACCAAACCGCCCAGAATTGTGATCCCTAATGCGAAGACGGGGACCTATGTGAGGCCACGTCTCCACCGTGTTATTAGGGTTAGGGGCTCTGTCGTCCTCAGTGAGCTTCCTCGACACGCCTCGCCTCCTCGCCTCCTCTCGCCTCTCCTGCCGCCTCTGGCCCCGGCAGCCCGCCCAGGATCGGCCCCCGGACCCCTCCCCTGCTCCCTCCCGGCCCGCTGCTCGAGGACCCTGCGATCCGATGTTATGTTTTTTTCGTGACGTCGACTCCCAAAGGTCTGGACCCATCCCCCTGGACGCCAGGATCCCAGCCCCCCGAAGTCATGATTTCTTTATCACGTCGACCCCTGAAGGCCCGATGTCGTGACTTTTCGATGCGGGGTCCCCCGAAGCCTCGACCCCTTCCCCAGGACAAGTTTTTCCTCCTGAGTCGTCTTTTGACGGTCCCAGGGCCCGGCGAGGGCCACTGGGGGCCGAACTTCGGGCCGGGCGAAAGGGGGGGATAACAAAAAGGGGGTTTGAGAATCAGCTCTCGTAGCTGATTTTCCCGGCGCCTCCTGGCGCCGGAGGGCTGCACGCAGCAGATTTCGTAACCCCCCCTTTCCCAATCCCCCCCTTTCGTCCGGCCCGAGAGCTCTGCGAAGAACCTCCCGTCTTGATTTTCTCAGTGCGCCAAATTTTTGGGGAGGAGCCGGCCGTGGCCACGAGGCGCCTCTCCAGGAGAGGCCGGAGGGTCGCCGAGGCCACGCCGGCGAACGAGAAGACCCTCACCGCGCCTCCCTGCCGCCGGCGCTCTTGCCGTCTGCCCCCCCCGCGCCTTCCGCAGCCTGCCTCCCAGTCTCGCGCTCCCGCTCCTCTGGCTCCCAGTCCGGGCTCCGGCCTCTCGCCGTCGTCGTGGTCGTCGTGCTCCTCCTCCTCCTCCTCCTCCTCCTCCTCCTCCTCCTCCTCTCCTCCTCCTCCTCCTCCTCCTCCCCTCCTCCCCCTCCTCCCCCTCCTCCCCCTCCTCCCCCTCCTCCCCCTCCTCCTCCTCCTCCTCCTCCTCCTCCTCCTCCTCCTCCTCCCCTCTCCTCCTCCTCCTCCTCCCTCCTCCCTCCTCCTCCTCCTCCTCCTCCTCCTCCTCCTCCTCCCTCCTCCCCCTCCCCTCCTCCTCCTCCTCCTCCTCCCTCCTCCTCCTCCCTCCTCCTCCTCCTCCTCCTCCTCCACCTCCTCCTCCTCCTCCTCCTCCTCCTCCTCCTCCTCCTCCGCCGCGTCCTCCTCCTCGCCCTCCTCTTGATCCCTCCCCGCCTCCTCGACCTCAGCTCCTCCCCGCGTCTGCACAGAACCTGGAGCAGCAGCCGTGTCTGGGGGAGGTCGGGAGGAGGGGGCGGGTGTTGCAGCATCGGGGTGGGTTCCCCGCATCGCCCCCGGCCTGCTGAAGGCAGATCAGTTCCTACGAGAAAGGTGTCGTGCGAGATCGACCCTATCCAATTCGAGCGTGACAGTAATGATTCACTGTCAACATCGCCCGTTGAAGAAAACAGTTCGGATCCTACAAAGAAATGCGTCGAGCGAGCCCGACAAGTTACAAGTCGGAAGGCCACGCCCATACAGAGAGCGTAATTCCGGTGGCGACTGGCCCCTACCTGTCAAAAGGGCACAGCCAGGGTGAGCGAGCTACGTAGGATCGCGAGCGGAATCTGAGGACAAAGAGGAGCCGGAGCAGAAGGCCGAGGACAAGGAGGAGGACGAGGAGATGAGCAACAAGGATGAACACATGGAGGAATGGGAGGGGGAGGGCGATGAAACGATCATAAAGAAGATGACCAGAAGGATGATGGGCAGGAAGGCGGAGGAGGAGCAGGATCAGCAAGAGAAGGGGGATGAACAAGATCAGGAGGATGAAGAAGAACAACAGCAACAGCGAGGAGACCGGCGGACGGGGAGCATCACAAATAATTGCCCTGGGCAGGCGATCACCTGAAGGATTTCGGACATCCTAGAAGCAATGCTACTTTCGTCTCTTGTTTTACTTCCGCATCCTTCCGCCGACCTTCCGCGAGCTTCTGCCAACATAGTTGATGTTGTGGCAGGGACTTCGTACCATGTGCGGACCACTCCGATGAGAACAGAGCGCCATGCTGCGAGAGGCCACGCCCCGAGCGGGCAGACCCCGTGAGGGTTGCGCAGGGTGCGCCGCTCCCCTTGCCGGAGGCCTCGCCCCGCCCAGATCTCGCACGAGGTCCACAGCCCTCTGGCCGAGAGAGAATGGAAAGCCAGGCGAGAGCTGGCAAACCCGTGGCTGCTAAAACTCTGGGAGATTGTTGGTTTCTTCCGGGTAGCAGCCCGTTTGCCACGTACTTCGCGCGCTGAGTTTTATTCATTCTGGAAATCTGTTTTTTCTTCCGGGAAGATAGCAACCACGGATCCGCCAGCCCTTGCCAAGCTTCCGAGAAAAGAATTTCATTGCACCTGCTGGACACCTCGTTGGAAACGCATGCCCGTGCCTCTGCTGCGCCCTCCTTGTTGCTCGCTGCGAGGGGTGCAGGGCAGCTCCCCGTCCGCGGCAGGGCTCCGGCGCGCGAGGTGGCAGGCCCATGGGGGGTGCTGGCCTTCCCAGGGGGGGGGGGGGGCGCTTCTTGCCGAGGACGGGGAGGCTCGCGGAGGAGGAGGAGAAGGAGGAGGAGGAGGAGGAGGAGGAGGAGGAGGAGCAGGAGGAAGAGGGGGAGGAGGAGGAGGAGGAGGAGGAGGAGGAGGAAGAGGAGGAGGAGGAGGAGAAGGAGGAGGGGGCGCTGCAACGGAGGCCAGCGGTGGAGAAGACGCCGCCCTCCGTCCGTGCAGTGCTCTTACACACACAGACACCATTCATCGTCGATCCCCAAGAAAATATAAGTAAATATGGGAAGTGGGGGGGGAAGACAAAAACCCAGAACAGATGGGAAAACATAGGGAATCTTTTTATTTGTGTGTGTTTATTTGGGTGTCCTGGGGCCCCTTCAATACATACTCAGGCTTCTGGCCTTCGAGCTCCACGCAGGCTCGCGGGAGAACCGAGCTGGAAACGGGGCCGCCTTCATCCCTGTAGCTGGTGCAGCGTAAAGAAAACGGGTGTGCGCGGCGCTAGGGCGAGAGCCCTATCTTGAAAGGAGCCGGCCCCCATTGCTTAAACCTGTGCGAGCGTTCCAAACGAATGTGCGCGGCGCTGATCGGGAGCCCACGAAAGACGCACGAACCCAACCACGTACATGAACACGGCTCCCCAATCCGCGAAACCAGCCGCGTGATACGAACGTTCGCACAATGCGTACTCTAGAAACCAACGTGGATTCATGTACGTGTACGTTCTTCGTTCGCTCCTGAGCTTAACGGATGGCTCCATTTTGAGACGCCAACCCATCCAATCGTGAAATTGCCGCAAACTTTTAAGACGAGTGCGCGCGGCGCGAAGGCGAGAACCTTGAATAACCACTCCCCCTCCATCCCAGAACCTGTTGCAACATGTGAAGGGACGTGTGCACGGCGCTGAGGCGAGAGCCCCGGTTTGATTCGCTCCCGAGTCGCGAAACGGTTTCGTGAGCTGGAAAGTATGACGGAAGAAAATCATGTATTCCACTGTTCTCCTGTTGGCCTCTGTGGGTTTCCCTGGGTTGCATCCAACATGCCCTGTGAACGCACTGACACGAACCCACTGACGGGATGGAGGAATATTCCCCCCCCTTGAATAAGCTGCAAGCTTTTAAAACACATGTGCGCGGCGCTGAAGCGCGACCTTTATTTTGAAAACGTCACCCCTCCATCCTGGAAGTTGCTGCACGTGTCAAGCTTCAGGATCATAAATGGTGGGAACGCCTCAGGCGAAACGCCTGGCCCGCTCTACTGACACATCTGCGGATGCGATTTGTTTTTGGATTCTGCTGCTGGCCAGTGGCCTCGAACCCTGGCTAAGCTTGGACAAACTGGTGAAGCCTGTTGCTTGGAAAAAAGACGTCCCAAGAGACCCTCCTTGCTGTGCCTCGTCATTGGCCTTCCTGCTCCGCAGGAGGCCCTTCATCTCGTTGAGTTCTCGAGACGATGCGCTGCTATGACGGGGATGGGGGGGGGTCGGAAGGAGGGGATAAAAAATAGAGCAAGGCACATAACACTCATCTCCTGCCTGTCGTGCGGGTGCGCCGCCACTCGTGTCGTGGCGGCCAGAACCTGTGCCGCGGCGGGTCGTGGGGGGGAGACGAAGGAAAAGGATGGGCAGTCGCGAGGAGAGCCGGGTAGACGGGAGAGGAGGGCAGGTGGATGAGGAGGTGGCGACGAGGAGGAGCCAGAGGAGCAGCATGAGGACAGTGAGAAGTAGCAGCATGACCAGAAGTAAGCAGAGAATGAGGACAAGGACGAGGAGCGGGGGGGGGAACACGACGGCAATCTGATGACGAGGCGGAGGACGGGTAATTGTAGCAGATCGTAGAGGGGAAGGGAATGAAGGAAGAACGGGGCGTTAGGGCGGGTAGCGGCCAGGGGGCAGCGGGACGGAGCCGATTCGCTTTCAGAGTTGCTTTCTCGCATTCTCGAAACAAAGCGACGAGCTCTGCTTCGGAGACGCGGCCTTGGACACGCTAGCATTCGCAGCCTGCTCGCTAACTCTGGGGTGGCCATGGGCGTTCCGAAACCGATCTCCTCAACTTCACTCCCTTTGGCCGCTTCGTTTTCCTCGTGTTACTCCTCTTGCTCCTCCTTCACCTGCGCCTCTTTTCCTGGAGAAGATGAAGGGGGGAAAAAGGAGGCGGAGGAACAAAAAACGGACTCACCGAGACGACGCACAACTTACACGACGTCCTCCCTCATGTGCTGGCGGCCGCGCGGGCGCGCCGACACGCAGGTAGTCGCAACCGTCATAGTCGGAACCTTTGCAGCCGCGCCAGGTGGGAACCGGAGTGAGAAGGGAAAGGCCCACTGCTGTAACCACACGGAGAGGAGAGAAACTGGAAGATGAGAGCGAGCGGGCTGGGGAGGGCGACGCTCAGAAGGGGAAATGGGCAAATGGGGAAAGGAGGGGGAAATGGGGATAACGAAGAGGCAGCCATAAGAAGGAAGAGAAGGAGGAGGAAGGAAGAGGAGGAGGAGGAGGAGGAGGAGGAGGAGGAGGAGGAGGAGGAGGAGGACGGGAAGGACATGCCAGGGCGACGGGGGCAGGCAGATGACCGGTATAAAAAACTGGCCCAGGACGAATCCAAGAGCCGACGACGCGGAAAGGGCCAGTGCGCCTCTCACGAGGCCCCTGTCCCGGACTCGGAGGATACAACACTGTGGGAGACGTATCCGACCCGTCCCTCGGAAACCGTCCGGCGGGGCGCAGCCGACGCGGGGGCCCGACAGGGCGCTGCCCAGAAAACGCTGCCGAGGCGAAGCTACGGCGCTGGCAATTCCTCCCCGTTCTATGCTGGCCCGTGCTCTCCCACTCTCGGCCCACGGGGTCTTGCTCGTCCAATGCGAAATTGACTAGATGATGTATCTGTTCCCGGCCGAGGGCCGTTGCGCAGTCGCCGCGCCGTCTGCCGGCCAGGTCCCAAGTCAGCCTGGGGTCGGTGGGCCCGGCGCGCGCGTGGCCGCGCCGAGTGGCGAAAAGCCCGGCCGTGCCTGTGCAGCCCGCGGCCCTTGCCCCAGTGGTCCGACTCGAAGACCTTCCGACCCCCTGGGGTGGCACCCGCACCCTGCGCGGGCTGGCCCGCCCACCGACCGCGCCTGGCCCCAGGGCGGCCACGACGCGGGGCACGAGTGCTGCGCGCTCCCACCGCCCCGCGGGGGGCGCCCCCGCGCTGGCTGGCGCGCGGCCTCCCCCGATCGACCGGAGTGACCCGCCGAGCGGCCCATGCAAAACCCCCTCGCCAAAGGTTCGCTGCGACGCCCGCGCAGGGCCGCGCGCTCGCACCGAGGGCGCAGCCCGGCGAGAGGCCCCGGCAGGCACCGCGGCGTCCACCGTGCGAGCCGCGCTGTCGGGCTCTTCGCGGGGACGGCGCTGCCGCGTGCCGCGCGAGGCGGCTTGCCCATCCTCACCCGCCACTGCGTTGCGTGCCCGACCGCAGCCCAGCCGGTCGCTCGCGCCGCCGCCGCCCCCTCTGCACCCCCCCCTAGGGCTCTGTGGCTGGCGGCCAGCGCGGCGCTCCTAGCGGCGCTCGCAAAATAACTACCGTGCTCGCAAATGGCGCCCAAGAGGCCCAAACCGTTCAGCACGTTGTTTGTTTGTTTGTTTTTGTTTGTTAGTGTGTTCGTTTGTTTCGTTTGTTTTGTTTGTTTGTTTGTTTGTTTGTTTGTTTGCTGTTTGGGGTTATTGCTTTCTTGTGTACATGAGTTTGTAGATGTATATACATACGTACACACATGTCGACAATGTTCGCATGATGTTGCGATTCTCGCCTCTTCGTGCGAAGGCTGCCCAACGCGGCACAAGGAGGCCCTTCGCATCGCCCCGAGATAGCCTCCCGCGCTCCCCTACAGCGACGAAGACGGACCCACAATGGGGGCAACCGAAACGCGCCACCGCGAGACCGCTGGAAGCCTCCCATCCAAGTGGCCCCAGAAGCCTCCCAGAGGCCTCCAAGAGACCCCCAGGGCCCCAACGGCCCCCCCCCCCAGAGCATCCCAAGAGTCCCCCACGAGGCCCCCAAGAGTCCCCAAGGAGGATGTGGAGGAGGAGGGGGAGGAGGAGAATGAAGTGGAGGAGGAGGAGGAGGAGGAGGAGGAGGAGGAGGCGGAGGAGGAGGAGGAGGCGAAGGAGAGGCCCGCGACGCAGGCACGACGGCGGGATGGGCCGAAAGCCACTGGATGCATGAAAGCCAGCTGTGCAATGACGCCACTCGTGAGGAGCAGCGGCCCAAATCGGGGCTCTTGCCACCCTCTCTCCCCTCGTCGCGCCTGCCACCCCTCCTTCTCCGTCTGCTGCTGCTGCTGCTGCTGCTGCTGCTGCTCATCCTCATCGTCACCATCCTCCTCCGCCAAGGTCCCCGGGCAAGCCTGGCCTGCGGTAGCGTCCAGCTGGCTTCAGGTCGGGCATGTTCCCCTACAGGCGGATTTTGGACGACGAGTTGAAACTATTCAAAACATATTCAAAAAATAGTCAAACATACAAAAAGATCGTCCCCGGGCAAATTTTTGACTATTTGAGAATCATCCCTCTGTAGGGGGACAGGCCCGACTGAAAGCTGGCTGGGACGTCAGAATTTGTCGGGGCAAATCGGCCGACGGATCGGCGACCTTGCTGGCTGCCACGGCGGCGCTTTCCTCGGCGCGATTCCTCGAAGCTTCCGGGCAAGGCTCGGAGAGACCGAACTTTGCCGCACGTGCGTGCGAAGAGGTTGTGCCTCGGGCGGCCTGGTTCGCGCCCGCGAGGAATCCCTTGGCTTTTCCGCTGAAGAGGAGGAGGAGGAGGGAGGAGGGAGGAAGAGGGAGGAGGAGGAGGAGGAGGAGGAGGAGGAGGAGGAGGAGGAGGAGGAGGAGGAGGAGGAGGAGGAGGAGGTGAGGAGGGAGAGGGAGGAGGAGGAGGGAGGAGGAGGAGGAGGAGGAGGAGGAGGAGGAGGGGGGGAGGAGGAGGGGGAGGGAGGAGGGAGGAGGAGGAGGAGGAGGAGGAGGGGGAGGAGGGGGAGGAGGAGGAGGAGGAGGAGGGGGAGGAGGAGGAGGTGGAGGAGGAGGAGGAGGAAGATCAGTAGCGAGCCTTGCAGAGTCTTCCGTGGCCAGGGGTGGCCCAAGAGGGCACTCCTGGCCACATCATTGCGATGCGAGCATCCTGCGAACATCCCCGCTGCGGTCGTCATCCTGCTCGTCCTCCTCCGCGGCCCCCACATGCTCCTCCATCCGCCCGTCCTGCTATTCCTCCGCTGCTTCAACAGACACAGGCGGCCGAGGCCCCTGCGGAGAGTGCAAATCCGAAGCGCCGTCTGGTCCAACTGGCGGGACGTGTGCCGTCACATTCGGGATCTGGGCACGGGCGAGGTGCAGGGCGGAGCAGGGGCGGCTGGGGAGGGACACTGGGTGGGGGCGGGGGAGAAGACATGGGAGAGGAGGAAGACAGGACGGAAGAGAGGGAGGATGAATAACCTAGAAGATGGCTCTGATGAGGATGCTGATGAAGAGGGGGAGGAGGAGGAGAGGGAGGAGGAGGAGGAAGAGGAGGAGCAGGAGGAGCAGGAGGCGGAGGCGGAGGAGGAGAACAAAGGAGGAGGAGGAGGAGAAGGAGGAGGAAGAAGAAGACGATGGTCCATGGATCCCCCAAGACGGCTCCAAGACAACCCAATAGGGCCCCAGGGGGGCCTCAAAACGGCCCCAGGACCCCCTAGGACGAACCAGGAAGCCTCAACGAAGGACAATACTAACTGACTTCTCGGATGTTTCCCGCCGTGATGGCCCCAAGGGCCCTCCAGTGACCCCCGAGGCGCCCCCCCCCAGGGGCCCCGCGAGGCTTCCAAGAGGCACACAAGATGCCCCCCTGAGAGGCCTCCAAGAGCCCTCCAAGATGCATTCCAAGAGACCCTCGTATGTATCCCCGAGGCCCCTGACTCACAGGCCGGGCACGGTGCCACGACTCTAGACGAATTCTCTGTTATGGTCGGCGAACTGGCGCAAGCCTCTTCAATAATGATGATGCTGATGCTGATGTTGTTGTTCATGATGATGATTATGATGATGATGATGATGATGATGATGATGATGATGATGATGATGATGCGGATGCTGATGCTGATGTTGCTGATGATGCTGACGACCTGACGACCTGACGATGACGATGGCGATGACGTTGACGATGCTGATCATGATGATGATCATGATGATTATGATGATGCTGATGATGATGCTGACGATGATGAGGATGATGATGATGCTGCTGATGATAATGGTGGTGGTGTTGATCATGACGATGATGATGATGGTGGTGGTGATGATGGTGGTAGTTATGGTACCAGATTCAGCAAGGGGTCGAAATCTCATGAGCAGCCAGCAAATGATGGCCGTGCGCTTGGCGATAGCTCGGGCGCGAGTCCTCAACAAAGCCTCGGCTCCAGCTGGGCCGAGACTCTTCTGAGAGTGCGTGCCATTATCAGACAAGAGGACTTGAACATGCACTAACATTGCAGCATGCGTGGCTCGGTTACTGAGCGTGTTCGGACGAAACAACATATGCGGTAACACAAACCACCATATCGAAATCGGGGCGAAGTCGTCCACGCTTTGCAGACCAATTTGATGAGGAAGGAAACAACGCACGGGGTAGCTTGAAATCCCATGGGTAACGGATCGATTCAACAACTCCGCGTGCATCTGAATCCGAGGATAAAGCTAATGCGACATCGATGAGCGGATTCACATAGCATTTTTGCAATTTCTCGCTTCGTAAAGTTGGTATTACCGTCGGTTCTGGGACACATCTGGTTAATCGCGATCCAGTCCAGATGCAAGAACCTCATGCTGCCCCACTGAGAACCGGTCAACTTCATACTCATCAGTAGCGTGAAACCGTTGCGAACGCGATCACAAACTCTGTTCTTGAAGCCTCAGAAGCGTAGGAGTCATGATTGGTCGGGACTAGGGGCTCCAACTGGAAACCGATGTCCCTGCAAAACTTGAGGATGAGGGTGGGTGGGGCAGATGGTGGTGGCGGTGACGGGGTTGTGTGTATATTTATATATATATATATATGAATATGTGTATGTGTGTGGGTGGGAGGCGGGAGGTTTCGTGCCCAAGACCAAACGAAGACCTTGACACGGCAATGCTTTCGGCCATGATCGCCTCGCGACCACATGGCGGCAATTTTACTCTGTAGATTCGAACCAGAGCGTTGTTGACCATGGCGTGGTTGGCGTAGAGCGTCGTTGGCGTAGATCGTTGTTAGTATGAATGCCGTCGGCCAGATCGAACACCGCTGGCGTGAATATTCGAAACAAGGACGAGGTGCAAGCACCTAAATGTAGCCAGTCATAGCGAGACAAGTCACCTGGGCAGGCGTCCATGGCGCCAAAAGGCCACCTGGTACAAACATGCTTCCATAACTCTTCCCGCGAATAGCCAACTGCGACGATTATATGACAATCCCTCTCTTCTTGAACAAACTGTTGAGGTCCTCCATTCCGAACTGCATGGTCAGAATGATCCAACGCTTCCTCGGATTGGGCGAGCGGCACGTCGCGACGGAGCAAGGGCACACACCTAAAACCAGCTCGGGTACAATCCCGCGCGCGTCGCCCATCGCCTCACCCACGTCGTCGGCGAAGGCGAAAACAAGAAAGGGTGCGCACATGGAGCATCTTCTTCCAGCATCGTCAGGACTGCATCGAAGCCGAAACAAAGCTGGGGGCGCCGCTGCTGAATGCCAAGAGCTACTCGGTACCCGGGAAACCGCACAAGACATGCAAAGCCCAAGATCAGCTCTGGGGCCGCGCTCCCGTCCTCCGAGGAACGCGCGCGATCCATCTGAGGGCTAGCGACGGAAGCGCCGCCTTTCTGTCCAAGGAGCGCACGCATGCGTAGAATGACTCGTTCTCGCGCATGCAATATGTATGCATATATATATATACACATGTATATATACATATGTGTATATATATATATATGTGCTCCCACACCTATTCCTATATTTTACCACCCGGGTCCCCCCACACCCCCCACACTAAACCAGACCCCACCCCAGGGACGCCCCAAACGCCCTTTCGGACGTCTCGGCGGCCCCCGGGACGCCCTTGGACAAGGTCCGCCGGCCCTTCTGGGCATCCAAGAGCGCCTTGCCAGGCCTTTGCGAGCAGACTCACGGTGATCGGAAGGGTCATCGGGGAGGCGCAGGAGAAACCCAACACAGCACAAGAGCGCTCCAAGAGGAACCTCGTTGGTGAAAACTGCCCAAAATGCCACCCAAACGCACAAAAAGGCCGTTAAGAGAGCCCCGAAGAAGCAAAGTTCGTCCCATTCCCTTTTGGAAATGTATATGTTTAGCATGCCTTCTTTTCAAAACTTCGCAACCAAATAGCGCCCCGTGACGGCCCAAGGGGCCCCCCAGAGGGCTTGAAGATGGCCCAAGTGGGCCCCGAGACTGCCCCAGAGTGCCTCGCAACTGCCCAAAAGAAACCCCAAATGCCCCCAGAAGGCTCCCAAGAGATACCCGCGAACGCCATGGGGGACCCCCCAGAAGGCCGTTGGAGGCCCCCAAGAGGGCCCTAGATGACTTCAGAAGACCTCTGGAAAGCCCCAGCTCCCGAAGACTGCCCAAGAGGGCCCCGGGACGGCCCAAAAGAGCCCACAAAATGCCAAGACGGAGTTCTCCCGCGAGCTGATCCGACGATCTTGCTTCCACGCTTCAGACTCGAGGTTTAAGTTCCTCGATCGAGACAGGCACTGGATCTAGATTCGAAGTTCGACGATCGAAGAGTTCCTGAATGCCTGGAGCCCTCCAGGCATTCAGGAAGCAACCGGACATGGATTTATTCGGAGCTACTGCGGCTTCTTCGGCGTGTCATGGGAACGCTCCTTTCTTCCTCAAGGGACCTTCGCGCAATAAAGAATCATCATTCCTTCCCCGCTCCTGCGCACAAGGGCATCGGGCGAACGCGGTGTGAGCAGGCACCAGGAATAAAAGAAACATGAGCTGGTTGCCCGCCCAGGCCTCGAGGCCCCCCTTGCTGAAGCAAGCGATGATTTATTGCTTTGTCGGGGAGGGTCCGGAACAAGGCGCATGGCGCGAAACGCCAATGCAGTCTTATGTCTATACAATTTTTGTTGTTTCTCTCTCTCTCTCTCTATATATATATATAACTGCATTGGCGCTTCGCACCTTGGTCCTTGAAGTTTGGCATGCAAGCGGAATAGCAGGAAGGTTAATCCGACAATGTAGCGATAACTCCTTGTTGCCTTTTCTGGCATCGCCGTCCTCCGTATTCTGCGGCCGTCCTCCAGCGTAGCCGTCCTCTGGCATCGATGCCATACCCTGCGTATTCTCCCCATCCTCCTCAACTCTTTTTGCGGAGGCTCCTCCTTGGAGAGCCTCTGGGGGCCTCGCAAAAGTTGTCAGGCTTTCTTAAAGCCTTCTGGTGACCTCCTGTTGGGCGTCTTCTGGGGGCCTCTGGGTTCGCAGGGTGTCTTGGGGTCATCTTGGACCGTCATGCATGGGGCTCGCTTGGGCCATCTTGGAACCCTGTTGCGCCGTCTTGGGGCTCTCTTGGACTGCCTGGAAGTCCTTTCGGATGCTCCTGGGGCGATTTTCGAGCCTCCCAGGCGGCTTTGGACGCCCAGAAGACCGCTGTGTTGGAGCGTCGGGGAGCCGAAAAGAGGAGAACTCCAAAATTCACCACAAACCAACAGAAAATCAATGATTTTTGCCTCTTGGGGCCTTCTTGGGAATGCTCTTGGAGGCCTCTTTGGACATTTTGGAGCGATCTTTGTGGGTATGAAGGCTTCTTTGGGGCCGTCGTGCTCTGGGGTCGTTTCGGAAGCGCGCCGGAACGCCTGGAGCCCTCTGGGGCCGTTTCTGGGCTCTCGTGAGGTTCCCCCGGATCGTCTGGAGGGTTGCCCGAGAGGCCCGAGGTGGGCCAAATCCGTTCGGGGGGGGAGCCTTTTTCCAGGGTCCCCGGCCCTAGCAAATCCGCCGACCCTGTCGGCGTGTGGAAGAGGCTGTTCCGTTTGACTCGTCGTTTAGCAACGCTGCAGTTGAGTCGAAGGGAAGCCCGTTTTCTTTGATCCCTTCCCCGCCGGGGGGGGGGGGTCACGGGGGGGTCCCGGGGCAGATACGACTCCCCCTCGGGCGGTTCGGCGGCCAAGAGAAGCCGCAGGACGCGGCAAAAATTATGGTCTCCCTCAGGACCCCTGCCCCCGGTCCTGGCCCAGCCTGGCCCTGCCCCTGGCCCCCAGCCCCGGCCTCGGCCCCGGCTCCGGCCCCAGTCCTGGCCGTGGCCCCGGCCCCAGCCCCGTCGCCTCCCAGACGCCCGCCCCCGAGG